ACCAGACAGTGTTTCTAAATTTTGTTCCATATATTATGTTTTTAAGTCATTATAAATATTATAATTAATTACAGTAAAAGTGATCTGTGAAGAGGTTTAGAATGGTGTAATATTAGACCACACACTGTTCTAGGGAAAATGTGTGAATTGTTAGGTGTTTTTAATAATGTTTTGAGTCTGTTGCCAACAGTTGTTTTATCAGATAAGTTATGCGGGTTTTTTGCCTTTAAACTTGTTTTTCATTTTCTACTTACACTTAGGGAATGTACATCAAATCAACTTATGATGGATTACATGTAATTACTGGAACTACAGAAAATGTAAGTGAAGTAAATGTAGATTAACTCAGGCTATCTGACAGTAGCTTTGATTGAGTTAGTTCGACTTTTTTTACTACTTTTTCCTGTTTTACATGGTACTTTCATGATATTACTGCTTTAAATACTGTGTGATGCATCATTTGTTTATCCACAATTTGTAAATATTTTGTGTCTGCATGTTTCTCTGTCAGTCTAATTAAACCAGTTTCTGCAAGTACATGAGTTAGTTCAAACACTTGGCATTAAAATAATTGCTTTAATAAGTTACTGTATCTGCTGTTCTGAGCGCTTATGGTATCTTGCTTAACAAAGTCTTGAATGTATTTGCTCTCCCCTGGCAAAGGCAATCTCACCTAATGGGAATATTTAGGTGTTAGTGTGCTAAATTCAATAATGAGTAATGAAATCAATGAGCTGTGCAGTGACAAAATTATCTTGCAGAGTAAAAAGACTACAAAAAAGTAAGACTTTAAGAGCGGCCTTCTGGAAGGAAACAGTTGGCATGATAGGCAACTGTATTTTTTGCTGCAGATGGTTGCTTGTTTTATTCTCACACTGCGAGTTCTCTGTAGCTGAGACTTTATTAAAGGCTTCTGGGCAGTCATTGCAGTGGACCTCTGGCCAGCAGCTGAGGCTGGCAGGTGATGCTGTGGTGTTGTCAGACATGCCGCTCTACAGGAGCAGTGGCTGAAAGAAAAAAAGAGCAGAGGAACTTGCCTTTTGCAGCGATGCCTTTTTTTTTTTGTGAATAGGAAAGAACCAGTGGTTCTAGTTGTACCGCTGCCAAGTCCAGGGGCCAGGGAGGAGTGGGTGGAAATCTGTGCTTGCAGTTCAGAGTTTAAACTGAAAGCTTTTATAGCTTTTATGCTATTGCCCTGGCATAACTCTGTATAGGATCTGCAACAGAGACCAAGTCCACTTTGACAGCAATTTCAGCATTGATAAATGTGAAAGAATGTAATGTTGACTGCTGACAAGCTGCCTGTGCATATAGATCTCATTTTGGAGGCCAGGAGTGGGGCTGTATTGCTTCTATAGCTTTAAGTGTTGACCTAAACATCTGCTTTTTTATGAACACTGGTTCTTCCTTTGGGGAAGCTCTTTCCTTTGGAGCAACAAAACTTGACAAGTGACTGAGAGACCTGCAAACAATTAATGTCTTTCTGGTGGCATGGGATCATTTAGATGACCCAGGCTGGGTCTTTGCTCAATTGTCTTGCTAGGTTTGGAATGGTATTTTAGTAGCTATCCCCAGAAGCCAGTGTGTTGGAACACAGTGGAATTGCACCCCAAAATTAACAGTAATGTACATTGGAAGGACTGGGGAAGTCCATGCATTTGATACCAGTCAGCCAAGAGGATTCCTGAGTTGTGCCGTCCGACTTGTGACTTCCTGCATCATGTTGGCCTAGATCTAAACTTTGCTCTTTCCTCCGTTCTCACAATGTGATCGCAGTGTCTGCTGTGCTAGCTGGCACTTGTTGTAGGAGTCCTCTGTGCAAGGGTCCCCCACCCTCCCTGAGACGGGCTGTTGATCGCCCAAAGGACAGCTTGAAATGAGCTTTGTTTTTCACAAACTTGACTTTGGCCCAGCATTTTTTCATGATCTTGGTTGACTCATATATATGCAGCCTTCCACGGAGGCATTTCCTCTCAGAGGAAGTGAGAAGACAATGAAGAAATGGGGTTACTCATGATAGCTGGAGCCTCCCACAAATTCCCCCATGTTTTTTTCCCTTGTTGCACTGTTTACTCCTACAATTCCTCCAAATAGAGCTCAAGTAACTTTTCTGAAGGTGCGACCTGTTTACTCCTACAATTCCTCCAAATAGAAAAGTTACTTGAGCTCTGAAGGTGCGATGATGAGGAGAAGGGAGTCCTTAATCCAAGTGCTTAGTTCTGGAGTCACTAGGAAGAGCTGGCCTGCTGCCAGGTGGTTACTCATGGGGTGGGGGGAATGGGAGGAGAAGTTGTCCCGTGACTGGGGTGCAATATACCAAGGTAGTATGCCTGTGCACTTTGGGTGTTGTCAAGGCTGGTCAGAGTTGGTGTGTTATAGCAGTGAGACTGTTTTTAATAACTGCAGCGATAGCTGGTGCATGGCACCAGCCATAGATAAATCTAAATAAATATTGACACATTTAGCTGTTCCTCGCTAATTGTTCCCCAGAGCTTGGTTTTTGTTCCAAGAAAATTGTATTTTAAGGTGTATTAATATTAGATAGGTATTCGAAAAATGCCTGTCTACGCACACTTCATGTGTACAAGCATATATTTTTATCTGTTGACCTTGATGATGCAGGCAGGTAATTTCACGTTGAAGTTGGTAGCTCTTATTTATATTAGGAAACAAAAAGGGAAAAGTGCAATGGATCTGTTTTGTGGGTTGAAGGGTTTTTGGTCCTCTGTTCTGTACATCCAAAATCTTAGAGTATTTTTTTTAAAATCAGTGTGCATTTATCTGAAAGCTAAATTTAAGGTTGTTGCTGTGTTAGGACAGAAGTCTTCTCTTCAGTCCTCTGCCACTGCTGTCTGAAACTACAGTACAAACTGGAGGCAAAATGACAGTGGAGACTGTCCCATGACTTAAGTACAATTTGGCCTCTGACATATGTAGGCTATGCCTTTTCCCTTTCCCTGTAGTTCCCCCGGTATAAAAAATAAATCATGAGTTGAATTTGTTTGCATTTCTCAAGTCATCAACAGATGTAATGTGTGATCTAGCTGTGCAAAAATTTTCAGCAATGCTCTTCATTAGATACAGCCTTTGACTTAGCTTGGTGGGGGTTGTTATGGGAGGGAAGAAAACCTGCTGAAGCACATGCCTCTTGTTTTCCTCTTTGTAGTCCCCTGCTGATCGATCTCAGAAGATTCATGCTGGTGATGAAGTGATCCAGGTTAATCGGCAAACTGTGGTTAGTAACAAACAGCCTGAGCAACCTTCCTTTATGCTTGCTCTGCAAAGCTTGTTCCCCACAGGTTCTGAATGGATGGAGTCAGGAGGCGGTTCTGGTGTTTTCCTATTGAAATCTTTGAGGCTTTTTAACATTTTGTTTTTCAAGACAAATTTTATTCTTTGCGATATTTTGATAAAATAAATATGCGATATTTCATGTTTAAATGCTGTATGCATCACATTAAAATACTTCATGTTGTATTTATGGCCTGTTTTAAAATGCATTGTTACAATCTACTGAAATGCAGATAAAAACAGCTTTAAAAAAACCCCACCCAAGTATTTGTCAAATCATTTGCATCTGGGAACTTAGATAAAATGATTACATTTGGGCTTAGCACAGGTAAGCAATGTCTTTCAATGTCAGAAAGAAACATTGACAAAAATAGTTCACTGTGAATCCCTGTGTTACTCAATTTGAGCACATCCATGCATCCTTCTAGGACTGGAGCTGAGGTAGAAAGAACATTGCTTGATATCTCAGTGTTGTGTTTACAGCTTAAGTAGAGATCTTTCTTTGAAACAAAGAATAAACTTCAAAAAAAGGAGCTCTCCAATTTTTTTCTTCATTCTGGCTTTTTTTGGATCTCTTCTCTCTTGAGGTTCATGTTAAAACAGACAGTTTGACATGGGGGACTTGGGTTTTTCTTATTTGTTCACTTTCAAAAAAGCAATACTAAATAAAAGATGTCTTTATTCTCTTCCAGGTTGGATGGCAACTAAAAAATCTGGTGGCAAAATTGCGAGAGAATCCTGCTGGAGTTAGGCTGCTGCTTAAGAAACGTCCTACCGGCTCTTTCTATTTCACTCCTGCTCCACTAAAGAATCTGCGCTGGAAACCACCCTTGGTGCAGGTGAGAGGCTGCCAGCTCAACTGTAATGTTGGGATGGGAATGCCTTGGTTGCAACTTGAAAAAGAGAAGTACCAGAAATGCTCCCAGGTACTTATGGTTAAGTATAGGTCAAGGAAGGTTAGGTGAAATGCTGTCCTCTGGTTCCTAGATAAAAGGGAAAATGTTCTTGCCTTTTTTTTCTTTTTTTTTTTAAACCCAGATAGCGCGCTCTTGATACACAAAGGGACTAGGTGTGTTGAACATTTTAATCAGTCTGTGTGCCACTGGGAGAACTTATCTGAGGCAAAACTGCTGAAACCGCTGATATGTATGGAATTCATCAGCACGGAGTAATAAATGCTTCCTCTATTTAGCGGAGTAGTACGTTTTTGCTGAAATAACTTAGATTATTCCATATATTTGTCATCTTTTTAGTCTGGTGAAGGGTGGGAAAGAGTGAGTGTTTTTTCAAGAAGGTATTTAAACTACTTGTTTAAATAAGATTTGGTTGTTGGGCAATTCACAGATTGGGTAATGAGCAGACAGAGAAAGTGATGTTACTAACTCTTAAATAACCATGTTGAGGAATGGCTTGTTGTATTAGGAAGCTTAGGGCTTAATGCTTGCAGGAGGAAATAACCTAACTGAATCTAAACTGATTACCTGAAATAAAGAAAAACAGGTAGAGTTCCCATTCCTAGTCCTGTTCTGACACAGATCTCCTTACAGCTGTGAGGATAATTTAGCACCCTGTGAACTACCGGTGGCTATCGCAAGTCTTGATGCAGACAGATTTCTCTCAAACTGGGTAGAAGATGCGCACTTGACTCCTTTCTCATCCTTCCCTTCACCACTGTCTGTGTCTTGTTTTTGTGGCATCGTGCCATTTAATCAGAGCCAAAGGAAAAAAACCACCACCCTGTGAGTTTTCCAGGGTTACCCAAAGCAAGGACTGGTGTGAAGAGCTGAGGTGGGCTGGGATATAGGCTGTGCCAAGCAGCATTTCCTTGGGGGAATGACTGATTGGAGAAGCCTGTTGACAGTTCTGGGCTCCAACATACCAACCGGCAAAAGGCAGATGCTTGTGCAGGGGTGCCATTAACTGAGTGGCCAGAGTGAAAGCCTGGGCAGGCCCTTGACAAAAAGGGGAGAGTGCAGTCCTCTTGCCTGACAAAGGTGAAAGGGTCCTTCAAGCCTTTACTCTCCTAGAGGCAGACAGGAGCCTGGCAAGATGCTAGGGACATAGAAGTGACCCACAAAGAGCAAAAAGGCAAACTTGCTCAGATGAGCAATACCAAATGTATTTTTCCTTTGCTTCCCTTACCCTAGTTATATCCCTTGATGCAATTTGTAGTGAACTTTACCATATTCCTTCCCACGCCCCAGGCATTGGACTGTATGGAATAAGGGTAGTGTGAGCTGGCTTTGTAAGTGTTGCAGATCATATCTGTATCTAACAAATTGCATTCTTTTAATGGATCTAAAAATAGAATAAGGGGGTTTGAGTCTGTTGCTTTTTCTGTCTATGGAATTTGCAGGAAAAATAGAACTGGAAAGAGCAAAATATTCTTGAGCAATGCAATACCTGAGATAGGATTTCTGTAGGAGGGACTGCAAAGCTAGCCAAAACTGGGGGTGGAGGAAAATGTAAATGCTAAGAGTTTTTAATGTGTTTAAGCATAGAAATAGTAGTTCACTAGGGGATGAAATGATACTATTGATTATTGAATTATCTTTTTGTGAATGATAAATCAATGCTCAGATGTTTGATAGCTGTCTAACATTTCAGACCAGTCCTCCACCAACTTCAACCCAGTCACCAGAAAGCACCATGGATACCTCGCTGAAAAAAGAGAAGCCAGCCATTTTGGATCTGTACATACCACCTCCACCAGCTGTTCCATATTCTCCTCGGTATGCAAATAAACATGCACTGCTGAACAAAAAACTTTTATTACACTTGTTTCTGAGCTGGCTTGCTGTTAGAGCTCTGTGTACATCAGCTTGAGGAAACTGCAGGTCTCGCAGACTTTCTTTTAGTTGCTTAAATGTATAGGATTGCTTATGCTTAAATGCATAAACTACCGGGTTCGTAGTAGGTTTTATTATTAGAAGATTGTGTGCCACATAGATCAGAGTTGTTCCCAAAACATGAATGGATGTCATCCCTGGTTTTGTTGTGGGGTTATGTTTTTGATTTTGTTAAATCCGACTGCACATAGACATGACAAGTCATTTTTTGTCTGTAACTTTTTTCACTTTTTTTAGTAAGTTAAGTAACTGTTGTGGAAGTTAGGATAGAAAAGAATTTGTTTTAAATTGTTAAACTTGCAAGTTGTATAAAACAGGAATGTTCCCACTGAGGGCAAGGGAGAGTCAATTCATTCAACTTTATTTTTTATCCTGTGGTGTACGCTATAAAAATGCAGACCTGTGTACACAAAAGGCGGGTGGGGTGGGTGTATGGTATGGCTAGCTTTTGTTTGTTCTCAAGTCCATATTGACTCATGCCAGAACCCTGCCAGCTGACCTGGGAAGGTGATGGACAAAAGATTTTTCAGGCAAGGCATGCTTCCTGGCCTGCCCTGACACTTTAGGTTATATGTAGATAGCCTGGCACAGAAACTCTGACCTTTTGCTGCAGGGCTCATGGGAGGAGAGCTTGCCTCCTGTCATGTAAGGCATGATACAGAGACAGAGGTTGTATTACTGCAGTCTTTGGGGCAGTACTGGGGCCGGGGGAGAGGGTTTCTTCAAGGTAGGGTCTCTTTACTGAAATTGGACCCACCTTGACCTGCTTTCTCCCTGTTTTTCATGTTTATGCGTGCTCAGTTCTTTTTAAAAAAAAAAAAAATAATCAAGTCTCCTCACATAAAAACAAGCATATAGATTTAGCAGCTGAGTTTAGAATGCCTTGGTCTTTCCTTTAAATAGTTACATTTCAAGCACATTGGTGAATTATGCGCATGTGCTCAATTTGTTTATCCTTCCTAAAGAGTCACAAAAATATATGTAGCTTCAGATGCCTTTAGACCTGAATCCCTGTTGACGAGGAATGAAGTAGCAATGTGAGCTGTAAAACTTGTCCTGGATGATGTGTGGAAAGGGGAAGGCTTCTTGACTTTGACTTTTAAAGAAAGGAAATGTGAGAAGCTGTGGCAGCCAGGAAGAGGAGAAAGGGCAGTTCTTTCACCTTCTGTTTGGCTATTTATTTTCACGTCTGCGTGTCTTGTTCTTCTCTTGAAACTGTGGTGCATTTGTCTGGGCGTTTCTTTTTTTCCCCTCATCATCCTGTTCTCTTCCCTTCCTGGCACGGATCTTCTCTGGTCCACACTGGGGAGGCAGAGAGCATTGGCTGGTTTCCCTCCCCATGGTACAGTCTCCACATGGTGGTGTTGTAGGAGAGCTCTCCGGTTGCAGCGTAACACTTCTGGTTGTGGTGTAACACTTCTGTGCAATTCTCAGTCCCTGAACCTCCATAAATAGCTCCCTCCCATTCACTGAGCTCTAGCATTGTTCTTGATGGAGAGCTCGAAAAAGTGGTATGTGCTGGCCAGAGGGCTGTTGTGAATACTGGGGTATGTTTGTGCTTAGACAGTCAGCTGTGTATTTTTATGCCTGACTTGGCTGATGATTGCTTCAGGCAATAAGATTGTAGCATGTACTGGGAAGGGGGGAAAAAAACCCAGGCAAATCTTAATTTGGAGGGTAGCTTTTCTTAGAATCATAGAATCATAGAATAGTTTGGGTTGGAAGGGACCTCTAAAGGTCATCTAGTCCAGCCCCCCTGCTGTGGGCAGGGACATCTTCAACTAAATCAGGTTGCTCAGAGCCCCGG